TTTCCCCTTCCCTTTCCTTCCCATTTCCCATTTCCCTTCCCCTTCCCCTTCCCATCATTATGGACTTTTCAAGAGAGATGGGTCTTCACATTATGTGCCCCAAATGTGACAGCGTGACCTGTCCTTTGTGTCTCCAGTGAAAATTATGGGTTGATCTCTTCCCTGATCCCTTTGTGTGTTTCCTTGCCCGTCCAGGGTGCTCTCGGGAGTCTTGTCCAACGCCTACAATTGTTTGCACCCACGTTCTCCAGACAGCCCTGTCTGTGAAGTACACACCCTGATCAATCTTTGCAACAACTAAAATTACTCAGGGTGCTACGTTGTGGTTTATTTGGCTTCAGCTTCTTGAACGAATTACACTTGGCTGAATTCAATCTCCCAACGCTCTCCTTCGCGGACCAAAATCTCTTGGCTTCTACAGCCCTCTGAGCCAGAGCCAAGCCAATATTATTTATGGCTTGTGAGTTAAATGCGAAGACCCACCCAGGGAGCTGGGCCCAGAAAAAATTTTCCTGATTGCTCCAGATCTTTTTAATGGAAACTGCCTTAAACGTTGCACGAAATTTATTTTATTTTTTCTATTTTATGTTTTGTCTTTCTTTTTTTTTTAAAGGTGAACTTATCCGATTGTCAGAATGTAACCGTGTTCCTGGCCCCTAGTGTGGTATGTATAATATTTCTCCAGGAAGAGAGAGGTTTTTCTCCAAAAACTGCAGGCGGTGGTCGTGTGCGGCGAATTGCCCTGTTTGTGGCGACGGTAAATATTATTACTGTCGCTGATCAGTTCGAAAACAAATTCCGAAACAAAATGGGAGAAATGCAGTAAAACTTTACAAAACTGATGTGGTGAAGTGTGGCGTGTAACAAAACAAAAACTTTGCCATTTTCAGCAAAAGAAAATGATTAGACCTGTGGTGGCGAACCTATGGCACGCGTGCCACAGGTGGCACGCAGAGCCCTCTCTGTGGGCACGCGTGCCATTGCCCCAGTCCTAGCTGGGTTTTATAAAACCTTTTCGCTTTACGCCTCCGCCGCCATGTGGGAAAAAAAAAGGTTCAATCAATAAATCAATTTCAACTTCTCGTGGTGAGAAAATAGATCTTGCAAAGTTGGAATTGACTGATTGAACTTTTTAGTCCCATCCAGTCTGCCGTTACCACCGCAGCCACGCCCACCCAATGGGCCACGCCCACCCAATGGGCCACACCCACCCGGCACCAGACGATACATAAGTGGGTTTTGGGTTGCAGTTTGGGCACTCGGTCTCTAAAAGGTTCGCCATCACTGGATCAGACCGTAGCCACTGTCAATGAAATGGACCCAGACAGCCTGGATATCCGACTAGCTGGGGAGTTATTGTTTTTATATTAGACTTATATGAATTTTGATCACATGACTATGGGGATGCTACAGTACAGGTAGCCCTCGACTTATAACCGTTCATTTAGCAACCGTTCAAACTTACAACGGCACTGAGAAAAGTGACTTACGATCATTTTTCACACTTAGGTCCCTTGCAGCACCCCTAATGGTCACATGATCAACTGACTCATATTTATGACGGTTGCTGTTTCCTGGGGTCACGTCTTCCCCTTTTATGACCTTCTGACGAGCAAAGTCCATGGGGAAGCCAGATTCACTTAACAACCGGGTGACTAACTTAACAACTGCAGTGATTCGGTTAACAACTGTAGCAAGAAAGGTCGTAAAATGAGGCACTCTACAGCTGCCTCTCTTAGCAACAGAAATTTGGGGCTTGTGGTCATAAGTAGAGAACTACCTGTAGTCATAAGCGTGAGTTGCGCAAGTCATTTGTTTCAGTGCCGCCGTAACTTTGAACGGTCACTAAACGAATGATTGCTAAGTCGAGGACTCCCTATAATAAGAGCAAATCCTGTTTGCAAATCAGCGGGGTATTTTCGTCGTTGTTGTTCTTTCCAGGAAGAAACAGGCTTTCTTTTTTTAAAACAAAACAAAACAAAACAAAAAGTTAAGTTCTTCTTTGAAAGGACCTCTGGATCTGCCAAATGATAGCGGATCGAGGATAGTTTTAAATAAACGAAAAATGAATGTATAAACTTCTAACCCCGAGCATCAGGGAACGCTCAGGAGATGTGGCCTCTCGCCTTGGTAAAAGTCGGGTATGTTTGGTTTAATTTAGTCGGGGGCACGAGTGCCTTTGGGGTGTGAATGGCAGACTCTTCCTCGGGGCTTCCGGATGCTGACCCGGGAATGTCCTTCCCCAGAAGTCTGCGCCTTCTGTGTCCTGCCCCGTAGCCACCAAATAGTCTGTTCCGATTTAGCTGAATATGTTCTATGAAGCCATCCCTGCCGAGTTTCTAAATCATGAATTCTAGCCTAGTGATACGTGTGCACCCACGCATGGTGGCTATTCAGCAAACCATGGGTTAGCATGGCATGTGAGTACAGGATTTATAATGGCCTCCCATCAGGATTCTAGGCCACTCGCAACCAGCCGTAAAAGCAAAGATTAAAAACAAAACTAGCCTCCTCCCCCACGTATCAGACCAAACAAGGTCCCAGATCCCATCCCAGCCCAATTCCTGGGGGAAGGGCCAGGTCCTCGTTTAGAAGGCTAAAAGGATGGAGGTTCCTCAAGACCTCAGATAGTGAGTGAAGTGAAATAAGAGGATATTTGTAGCAACTGAAGAACTAAATGATTGCTTAGAGCAGAGCAGAGTAACAGAGTTGGAAGGGACCTGGGAGGTCTTCTAGTCCAGCCCCCTCTCAAGCAGGAGACCCCATACCATTTCAGACAAAAGGTTGTCCAATCTCTTCTCAAAATCCTCCAGTGATGGAGCATCCATAGCTTTTGAAGGCAAGCTGTCCCACTGATTAATTGTTCTCTCACTGTCAGGACATTTCTCCTTATTTCTAGATTGGTCTTCTCCTTGATAAGTTTCTATCCAGTGCTTCTTGTTCTGAATGTATGAACATATACATATGAACAAGTCCCTACTGGATTAGATCCAGCTAGTCTAGCAGTCTAGCAGTTGGTTCTCACAGTGGCTAACCAACTGCAGAAAGAAAGCTATTTGTCTCCCAGTAGAGGGTCTTCAAGGTCAGTCCTACTGCTCTACAGGCTAAGGGCCAGTGACGCCAGGACTTCCATGAAATAGTCCAACCCTTTCTTGAAGCCGGCCAAGCTGGTAGCCATGACTACATCTCCACTTCAAAGGTGATGCTATCTCCTTGAGTTTCAGCTGTTTCAGGTTTCTTGGCGCTCTCTGAACTTGAAGACGTTTCTTGAAGACGTTTCATTACCCAACTAGGTAGCATCATTTGATGATGTAACTTAGTTGGGTCATGAAAGGTCTGCAAGAAAACAACCACGCTCAGAGAGCACCAAAGACCCCACAGTCCTCCTCGTCCTTGTCCTCCTCCTCGTCCTCCTCCTCCTCCTCGTCCTCCTCCTCCTCCTCCTCCTCCTCCCTGCAAATCCCACTCCCTTTTAGCACTGATGTTACTCAGTTTGGGTCATGAAATGTCTGCAAGAAAATAACCACGCTCAGAGAGAGCACCAAGGACCCCGCAGCTCAACCTGAGCAACAAATATTTGCTTCTTTTGCTCTACCTTTATTCCCTATTGATTAATAGACCCTTCAGAAGGATCTCTCTTCTCTTCCTAGCTGATGTTTCTGGAGAAAAAGCTGCTGATGGAACTTCCAGAAGAAGCTCGTGTGGTGGCTGGGCGGTTTCCTCTCCCCAACTGGACCCACACTGACACAGCTGGAGAAGGTGTGAACCAAGCCTGGGCATACGATGTCAAGATGATCCGGCAACTGAAGAAGGATAAGCTAGAAGGGAGTCCAGTGTGAGAATAAGTCACCTTGGATATGCCAGTTTCTCAAAAAAAAAACCAACAACAACAACCCAATGCATCTTTGCTGGCTGATGGGCCATTAAGAAGATTCCTTTCTCCTTTGCTGAATCAACAGCCTATTTAAGCTGAGGAGTGGTAGGTTTTTAGGAGGAAAAAAAAGCCATTCTCCCTCCTGCCCCCTTCAAGATTCAGCAGAAAAGGCGATTCTCTAGAATTTTTGCCCCAAGATTGGTCAGCAAAATCATTCCTTTGGGACCAGTGTGCCTGTTCACTCTTCCGATTGGCAAACTGCAAGGATCTTGGTGCCGGTTTTTCTTTCTTTCTGATTAGTCCCAAGCAGCATGTGAGGTCCCTACCTTCTCAAATCCAATTCTCATTGAGAATGGTGGGCTGGCAGAAGGAATATATTTATGACCCCCTAGATCACGGGTCGGCAACCCGCAGCTCCGAAGCCGTATGTGGCTCTTTGAGCCTTCTCCTGTGGCTCCCAGCCTTCTCCGCCATTTGCAGAGAGCGAGAGACAGTGAGAGAGCGAGAGACAGTGAGAGGCACTTGTGCTTCCCTTCTCTCTCTCTCTCTCTCTCTCTCTCTCTCTCTCTCTCTCTCTCTCTCTCTCTCTCTCTCTCTCTCTCTCTCTCTCTCTCCCTCTCCCTCTCCCTCTCCCTCTCTCTCCCTCTCCCTCTCCCTCTCCCTCCCTCTCTCTCTCTCTCTCTCTCTCTCTCTGTGTGTGTGTGTGTGTAAAAAAAAGAGAATGGCCTCACGCTGTTCTCCGACAAGCTGACAAGTTTATTGGGTGGGGCTCCTGCCTTTGCTGTGTCTCCGCAGGAAGCAGGAAGAAGCAGAAAGCAGCAGAGAGAGAGAAAGAGAGAGAGAGAGAGAACTGATGCACAGCATCCTCTATTTCTTTTTAATTAAACTCTTCAATCAAGCTCCCCCTCTCCTGCACGTGCGCACAAGTTTTGCGGCTCCCACTGTTTTCTCTGGGAAACGGGTCCAAGTGGCTCTTTGAGTGTTTAAGGTTGCCGACCCCTGCTCTAGATTGTACACCAAGCATGAATTGTACATGAGTGATACATTTGTGAAGCGGTTTGGCTGGGGGTCGCTTTTGAAAGCGACTTGAGTTTCTTAGACTTTACTAAGAACACCAGCAGTTGGTGGAGAAGCCTTGGAAGAGGACAGGAGAGAAGAGAATGTAATTCTGTTTCTGAGATCTTATTTCTGAAGACCAGCAGATGATGAAGAACATTCAGAATAGGATGGGATGGAAGAGAGTGCAGTTCAGCGAGAAATGTGTTCTTTGTGGTTATTCAAGAGCTCATGTTATATTTGGGTTGACTGTCCAAACCTCGGATTCACGTCTCCTCGTGTTACGTAGTGAACAATCTTAGTCTGGTTATTTTTCCTCAATCTACTTTACTTTGCAACTTTGCTGTGAGGATAAAATGAATGTTGGTGTTAAATTCTTTTGGTTAATTATTGCTATAATTGAATTGAGTCTTACTTAAATTGTACCGGTGATACCAATCGAATACAATATTTACAAATGCCGAGATGGACTGTTCAAAACTGCCCGTGTGTATATATAGTATGTGCTAAAAAAAAAAAAAAGAGAAAGATAAACAGCATATCTAAAAGGGCAAAGTTAAGAAGAAAAAGTTGAGATAGAGTAATATGATGCAGTAACTGAAAATAAGTGAACTGAAACTAAAATCATATTTATATAAATCGCGATAGACAGTTTTTAATCAACAAATCAAACATAGACCAAATGGAATCATATGTGATCTTCTGTTCCCATACTAAGTCAAAATAAAGTGCGGACAGATTTGGTTTCATTTGCACAGGATGTCCTTCCAAGAATGTATAATCACCTCTTATACACACACTGTGTATATATACACAGTGTTGTATCCAAAAGCTCTTCATAAACAGACACATTCCAGAATTTTGGAGTAGCGTTGAACAAAACGTTCACATTTTGGAAGCTTAAATTTCACCCAGGAACCCACATGGCTACTATGGAGGACTTCAATCTAATATCTCTTGAAGATAAATGTGTACCAGATGTTGGGTCCCAGTTGTTACTCGCGCCTCTTGAGAACATTTGCAAGGATTCTGACAAGAAAACTACACTTCCTTATTGAGGTTCCTTTGGGACATCAAAAGTACTGGAATCGCAGATGCCCCAGCACTCAATTCTCGGGACCCGTCAGTTCCCAGGAGTTTGTGCATTCTCACAATCTCCTGCTTGTATCTGCAATGGAAGGAGATACGGGTCTTATACTTACTTTTACTGATAAAATCCAGGTGTCCAGCAGCTTCCATTGTGAAAAATAAATCAAGTAGACCAAAGAGGGCAGGAGACGGGGGGGGGGGAACTCACCTGGGAGAGATTTAACCTGTGTCTTCCTGAAGCATTTGGGAACCAGAGAGATCTGGAAGCTTTCATCTTGGAATTTTTGAAAGCTCGGGATGAAAACTGACAATGCTAGAGGCCCAAAGAAAATTTTTGCCTTTGGTTCTCACCTCACCAGATGTTTGTCCACATATTCTTGCAGTTCAGCAACCTGCTCTTCTGCTATCATTGCCCGGGCCAGCAGTTGGCTTCTCTCCCTTTCCAGTTCCACCTGAAGTTGTGAGAAGGGAAGTAGCAAGCATGAAGGGTGGCCAATAACTCAATGTCTGTAGAGGAGACCTCTCAGCCCTTCACAGTGGAGAAGACTTGAACCCCAGTCGTAAATACTAAACCTACTTTTATTATAGAGTTGCAGAAATGAGTCTGCCTCTTTCAATCCTCAATTTTATCTTAAAGAGTCTCCTTGGGGTGAGATGGCTGGCAAATAAATGTAATAACTAGATTAAATAATTTGATATATAAAGAGAACTAGGGAGGGTAAAATCAGAGACATTTTTTCAAATTACTTTTCTGTTTGGGGACTCAGACTTCTCTTATCTGGAGTCAAGTTAGAATAACAAAGAGTTGGAAGGGACCTTGGAGATCTTCTATCTAGTCCAGTGTTTCTCAACCTTGACAATTTTAAGACATGTGGACTTCAACTCTCAGAATTCCACAGCCAGCATTGCTGGCTGTGGAATTCTGGGAGTTGAAGTCCACATGCCTTAAAATTGTCAAGGTTGAGAAACACTGATCTAGTCCAACCCCCTGCTAAGGCAGGAAACCCTACACTATTTCAGACAAATGGTTGTCCAATCTCTTCTTAAAAACGTCCAGTGTTGGAGCACCCACAACTTCTGGAGGCAAGTTGTTCCACTGCTTAATTGTTCTAACTGTCAGGAAATTTCTTCTTAGTTCTAGGTTGCCTCCCTCCTTGGCTAGTTTCCATCCGTTTCTTCTTGTCCTGCCTTCAGGCACTTTGGAGAATAGATAAAACTAACTCTATTTTATTGTAAAACTATATTAACAGAATCTTGCAAGTTTGAAAGCACAATAGCTCTAGCACTTAGGCTTATATGCCACTTCACAGTGCTTTACAGCCCTCTCTAAGCGGTTTACAGAGTCAGCCTATCGCTCCCAACAATCTGGGTCCTCATTTTACCCACCTCAGAAAGATGAAAAGCTGAGTCAACCTTGAGCCAGTCAGGCTCAAACTTCTGACTGTGGGCAGAGTCAGCCTGTAATGCTGTATTCTAACCACTGGGAAGGAAGGAAGGAAAATAGCAATAGCACTTAGACTAATATACTGCTCCACCGTGCTTTTATAGCCTCTCTAAGGGGTTTACAGAGTCAGCATATTTGCCCCCAACAATCTGGATCTTCGTTTTACCAACCTCGGAAGGATGGAAGGCTGAGTCAACCTTCAGCTGATCAGGATCGAACTGTTGGCAGTCGGCAGAGTTAGCCTGCAATACTGCATTCTAACACTGCACCACCATGTCTCTTTAATCCTCCCCCTTCCTTTTCAGCCCAATTAGCTAGGGAGGGTCTCTTCTGAGTATTTTGATCTGCCCACTATCCAGCTATGGGCTATGCTCTCTCTTATCTTATTGTTCCCTATTTATTTATTTATTTATTTATTTTACAAAATTTATATGCCGCCCTTCTCCCCCATGGGACTCAGGGCGGCTCACAGCATGTTAAAACATCGTACAAAAAAATTTTCCCCTGCTAAAAACCAATTAAAACCCAAATATTGGTAGCTGTGGCTCTTTAAAATCGTTTAAAAATTGTCCCTATTTAAAACTCACCCTAGGTCAGGCCCGCTTGTTGAAAAAGCCATGTCTTGAGGGCGCGGCGGAAGGTTAAGAGATCCGGAATCGTCCGGATCTCGGGGGGNCGGGGGGGGGGGGGAGGAAAAGGTTTCCTATCCTGTTTTGGTGGAAAAGTGTCAGAATTGGCTTTTCTGCTTTTGTACCCATAGGGCTTTTCAGTAAAAATGGAGAGAAAAAAATGTCCCAGGAGTTTCCTTTGCTGTTTAATGCAGTGGGACGGTTGACATTACGCAACATCTCTTTGATCAGTCTCCCAAGGCCTTTCTCCCATACCAATATCACATCAAGCAATAAGGGGGCTTGGAAGAATGCCACCCCAAAAGCCCTTGCCAGATTCTTGGAGAGTTTTACCTACCTGGGTAGCGTGGGTAAATTCCCGTAGCTGCTTCCTTAGTTCGGCCCAGCCCTCTCCCTCCAACAGACTAGGGGCAGGGGGAGGCAGAGCACTGTGAATTAAAAAGAGCCCTCCCATTATGTTGTCGGAGCTGTGTATTTATTTATTTGTTTGTTTGTTTGTTTGTTTATTTAAATTTGTATACCGCCCTATCCCTTACGGGACTCAGGGCGGTGAACAGGCAATAATAAAAATCACAATAAATACATTCTAATTTCTATTCTAAAATCAGATTAAATAAAGGCCTGCTCTAAAATACCCCATATAAAACCTTTACTAAAACATAATTAAGACTACGCCAGGCCGGCCGCACGAAATAGATGGGTTTTCAGGGCTCAGCGAAAAAGGCGCAGGTCCGCAGTTGTACGTAGGTCGGGGGATAGGTCATTCCAGAGGGCAGGAGCTGCCACAGAGAAGGCTCTCCCCCTGGGGGTCGCCAGCCGGCATTGTCTGGCCGACAGCACCCTAAGGAGACCCTCTCTGTGGGAGCGGACTGGTGTATAGATAACTCTCTTATCTTGGCTACCGAACTCACTCATTTCTCGAAACATTTAAGCCATTAACTAACCCAGCAACCTGGATTCATCCCACACATCGTCGCGAAACCAGCCAACCAGCTTTAACGTTCACCAAGGTTGTATACGATGCGGCAACTTGGTTTGTAAGGGGCCTAGATAAGGATGTTGTGGAATAGCCACCGTAAAGGGCTGTGAGAATAACCTTGGGAGATGGGAGGAAAAGCCGCAGCCTAGACAAAAGATCTTGATGAACAAAATCTGAGTCAATTGAAGGACAGTGAAAAGAGGAGAAAGTAGACAGCAAGGAGATGGAGTTGTGATGGGGAGATGCCTACTAAATTGGCTCTGTGCTAGAATTATCTGCTTTGCGTGCCTGGGTTCCATATTCAAGCTCAGATGCCTCCAAAATCGCAAACGTATCCCTGGAGAAGACCTATGGCAGGGGTAGGCAACCTTGGCTCTTTTATGACTCGTGGACCTCAACTCCCAGAATTCCTGAGCCAGCATGGCTCAGCTTGGAAACCTCTCCCTTTCCCCTCAGCATGGCTGGCTCAGGAATTCTGGGAGTTGAAGTCCACAAGTCACAAAAGAGCCAAGGTTGCCTACCCCTGACCTATGGTAACCGAGGTCTCTTACAGTCCTTAGGCACTGGATTACAACTACCTGCTGTCTGGAAGGATGGGAACTGTAGTACCAATAACCCTGAAAATGAGGGAGGAGGGAGGGAGGGAAGAAGATTGGAAAGGGAGGGAGGGAGAGGGAGAGAGAGGGGAAGGGAAGGGGAGGGAGGCAGGAAAACTAGGAAGGGAGGGAGAGGGAGAGATGGCGGAAGGGGAAGAGGAGGGAGGCAGGAAGATGGAGAGAGAGGAAGAGATGGAAGGGGAAGAGGGAGGGAGAAAGGAAGAGTGGAAAGAGGGAGAGATGGCAGAAGGGAAGGAAGGAAGGGAGAGGGAGATGGCGGAAGGGGAAGGGGAGGAAGGCAGGAAGACGGAGGGAGAGGAAGAGATGGTGGAAGGGGAAGAGGGAGGGAGAAAGGAAGAGTGGAAAGCAAGGGAGAGAGGGCGGAAGGAAGGAAGAGGGAGAGGGAGATGGCGGAAGGGGAAGGGGAGGGGAGGAAGGCGGGAAGACGGAGGGAGAGGGAGATGGTGGAAGGGGAAGAGGAGGGAGGGAGGAATGAAGAGTGGAAAGCGAGGGAGAGATGGTGGAAGGAAGGAAGGGAGGGAGATGGCGGAAGGGGAAGGGAAGGGGAGGAAGGCGGGAAGACGGAGGGAGAGAGAGATGGTGGAAGGGGAACAGGAGGGAGGGAGAAAGGAAGAGTGGAAAGAGGGAGAGAGGAAGAGATGGCAGAAAGGAAGGAAGGAAAGGAAGGAAGGAAGGAGGCAGAAAGAGAGGGAGGAAGACTGGAAAGGAAGAAGGGAAGGATGTCAAAAGGGGAAGGGAAGGAAGGAAAGAAGGGCCGATATCAAGCTGATGGGTTTGTCGCTTTCCTTCTGCCTAAGGCCGCTTCATCAATTCTGTCTGCAGCCTCAGATTCATCCCTGGATAAGCGTCTCTTCCCTCCATTGACTGAGCCAGTTGCAAACCCAAACTTCCTACTTCCCCCGCACAAGAGGAAACGTTCTCAAAAAAAAAAAAATGGAGGTGAGAAACCCTGGGAAGGAGGCGCCACCATCTTGACCCTCGCCCATCTTTTATGTTTCCATTCTGGTTGAGGTTTTTTTTTGTCCTTCAGGGAGCAAATCCCCCTACTTCATTGGTGGGGTGTTGAGGATAGGTGATCTAATCGTGGGGAAATATGCGAGCAAGGCGTGGGAAAGTTCGGCTGAGTTGGTCCG